TTTCATTTTATAGACTCCAGGCATCAGAGCTCGACCTGCAAGACTTAATTGGTTTTGTGACAGATGTATTACAAGCAATCAGGTTTGTGTTTGATATCTGACATCTCAATCACCTAAAACTGTGAGTAGAAGGCAAGTGTCCTTCATGTCATAGGAACATTTGCGGATTTCAAGAGATAGAACATTGTGGAAGCAGTGATTGCTTTTCAAATAAGCAAGAGCTTATTTCTTGTGTCTGAGGTACGGTAGAAACCCTAAAAATGTTAACCTGGGCCTTGAAGATTTTGGCTTGGTTTATCCTAGTTGTTGGTTATAGCAGGCTGACCTTGCGTCCTTGGCAACTTAAGCCTGCATCAGTCCTTAGTGACTGGAGGAGTTGCTTGATGGAGCCCAGTGGAATTTCTGCTTTCCCTCGTCCAGGGCAGGGATCTGGTCACATCCTGCCAAGTAAAAGCCACAGGACAGGGAAAGGGTAATGTTTAGGTGGAAGAGTATTTTTATTAACATAAGATACACTCATTGAGTTCTCCCCACCTTGTTCTCTGCCCCACATATCTTTGAATTCTCCAAAATGCATATTCGTGGAGGTGCCTTCAACCAGATATTCATGTTGTGTTCTTGACTCCAAAAGGTCCTTCAGCCTTTTAACTTTAAGAGAAATTTTTTTAATTATGATAAAATATGCATAACAAAATTTATCATTTTTACCATTTTTAAGTGTACAGTTCAGTGGCATGAAGTATACATTCATATTGTGCTCAATCCTTTAACTTTTGAGGTAAAGTTAATTTGCCCTTTGGATAAAGCAAATTTGGAGAATTATTCAACTGCTATTTGTCAACTATAAAATATTAATATATCCTTCATACAATGTAGATTCATCTGTTAATCTTATTTTTAAGGTTGAAACTCTGGAGAAATTAGTGGAGCTGACACAGAAACTATTTGAATGTGATAGAGACCAGATGTACTACAATCTGCTGAAACTATATAGTAAGTGATTTAACTATTCCTCACATTTTCATTTATTTAGTCTATCAAAGGCAGTGACAGAAAAAGAGTGTCAAGCTTTGAAAGAATGTCAAATGTGGAGTCTTCAACAGAGGCTCAAGTAGAGGCTAGATTGAACTTGATCACAGAATTTTACATTTGATCGCTAGACACTGCACAGTCTTCATAATTTCTGACATTCTTACTGTAATAGTGAGAAGGTAAGAAAATCTTCTTCAGGACCACAGAATTGAATAGGACTTTTGAGGAAAGGCTATTCTTTCTTCATTTTATTTAAATTCTCAAGCAGATTTATCCGTCACTTTTATGAATAGGTGATCATCAACACATTCATGTGTATAGATCTTTTTGCAAAAAGATGTGTATGTGTATAGAAACTCATTGTTAAACAGTTTTTATGTGATCATATTATATTTTTGACTCAGTTATATTACAAACATTTTTTATATATAATCATCTACAAATGACTAATACACTGAATGGATATACTTGAATTTACTCAACCTGTCTCCTGTTACTGGGCATATGAATAGATTTCAGTTTTCCATATTATAAAACAATACTACATTATTCATTTTCGTACCTTAATCTTTGTTCACACCTTTAATTATTTTTTTCCTTAGGCTGAAATCCTAGTATTTGTATTTGACATTTCTGAAACTTTTGACCTCTATTCTCAAACTGTATTCTAATATGTTTATAGCAGTAGACCCGTTGGAAAGATTTGCAGTCTCTTTTAGCATATTTGGGTAGAGGGGAACACACTTAGAACAGTATGACTTTTCCCTTTTTACTTCATAGATATTTGATCTACATTTATTGTTCTCTTCTTGTCATGGCAAATTTTCCTTCACCAAACATAGACAGCAATGAATAAGTTGATTTGTTTGTATTTTTGAACTTGTATTTATTATCATTTGGAAGCCCTTTATTACATCTTGATGGTGTAAGTAAAATAAAACTTGCCTTAAAATTCTAATTTTCGGTTGTATTGCAATACTCAGTTCACTGTGTAATTCTTAAAACTTTGGCTTGAATGGTAATCAAATTCTCACACACAATGCTGAGGTTGGTGTTGAATGTATAGAATTAAAAGCTTTATGTTTTAGGCATTTAGTCCTTAAATTGTGGTTTATGACCTGTATTTGAGTGCTAACTCCCCACTCCACCTGCTTTTTCTTCTTTTTACAGAACTATTTCATGCTTAAATTCTAATTGTATTCAAACTTCAAAAAAATAACAATCCTTTTTTTTAACTACCCATCATGACCCAGAAATACTGACTTTATAAATCCAAATGTGTCTTAGCATTTAAAGTAGTCCTCATAAAAGACTATATAAACTTTCATTCAGACAAAAATATCCGTGGAGCCCTTACTGTGCTAGATATTATGGTGGGCACTGCAGATATAAAGGTAGCGCTCTGCTGAGAATCACCCCCCATAACCAAGACTCAGAATACAGGGTGTTAAGAACAACTGTAAGAATTTACGAAGTGCAATGGCAGTCCAGGGAGGGATGAGAGGTGGCCGGCCACACAAACTTCTTTCTCCTATGCAGATGAACTTATACTGTTGTTTTTTTCAATTGAAACAAAGAAAAGAGAAAACTTTTAGGTTCATCTTAAAATTTCCTTTAGGAATATGCAGTCTCTGGGTTTAATACCATTTTCTTCTTCTTAATCCCCCTCCATCTGCTCTGTTAGACATCTGCCTCCAATTTCTTCTTCTCTGTGTTTGAGCCAATAGTCCGAGAAGCTTGGAGGGTGTAGATGGCCTCCTCTGAGGCTGGAAGCTAGTGGAATCCTTACAGGGAAGTATACTTTTAAATACCATTTGTATACTTCCCACCCTCTGTAGTGCTGTAAGTAGATGATCTGGTTGTAATGGCCCTGATCCTTTGCTTTCTGAAGAAAAAGCAAGCTATTCCCTTCTGCAATCCCTTTCTCCATTTCCGCTAGACTTGGATCACTACTTAAATGTTGTTACATAGACTCAATTTATTTGAAAGAGAGCAGCATGTGGTATGGATTGATACTTGAAATGTGGTCCTATTATACTTGAAAAATCCATATTTTAGATGGTGGATTTCTGAAAAAGTAGATTTTTAGATCGTGGATTTCTTTTTCATGATGGGATTTTAGTGCTTGAAAGGGGTTGGATTAGTTATTTTGGGGTATATGTTGAAAAGCAACTTTATTTTAAAACAGTGTCTCTCACACACCCATACACACTAAATTTTGTTGTGAATTACATTCTACAGAAACATGCACAAAACAAAGATATAGCCAACACCCGTGGAACTGTGTAAGTCTTATACCTTTAAATACTAGCTGTTGTAATACTGCTTTCATTTTCTGCTGATTCAGTATGGTATGATGTTCATACATGGTCTGTTACAAGGATCTGTCATGATTCAAACTTTAATTCTATCCATTCCAATACATTTTGACCTTTCATTGTTACAGTCTTACAAAATAAGCTCCTGGAACTACAACAAAAATTACATGAATGAAATAACTCCCATACCTGCTTACAGAATATCTTTTTATTTCTAAGTGTCAATATTGTCACCTTCTTACCAAACATTTTTTTATGTTCTAAACACTTTAATTTCTTCTGTACATATGCAAAATAAAGGTTAGTTTATTCTTTGTATACATAAAGTACGCTATCCAAAAATAAAGTTGCCTTACATCTGTAATTTTGCACTAAAAATTCTTTGACTCTATTTAAAATATTTACAACCTCAACATTCATTCTAACTCGAGTTATTTTTATGTTATTTCTTCAAGTATGTATAGCCATTGACATTTCTTTTCACGCTGTGTGGCCTTTTCCCTCTCCATTATTACACAAGTAAAATGAATATATTCTAATTG